TTTTTTTTTTTTTTTTTTTTTTTTTTTTTTTTTTTTTTTTTGATACCAGGGATCAAACTCAGGACCTTCTGCTTGCAAGGCAGGTGGCGGAACTACTGAGCTAAATCCTGAGCCCTACCATTTTGTAATTTCTTAGGATCATAGTCATCTTAGCATTTTCCTCATAGCAGAGGTAGCGAGTCGTAATGTAAGCTATTGGATGTGGATATGGTAGTGAATGTCCTGTAAACCCAATCTTGAGACGCTCTTGCTCTCTCTCTTTCAGGAGGCCCCTGTCTTTACGGAATTAAGCAGAGAAAATGATGAAGAGAAAGGTAGTTTAAATTTTTCTTCCCTTTTTGGAAGCTTAGATGCTTTTGCATCAGCTTTGCTGAAAGCTGGCAGCATGTCTGGGAACAAGACACTCTGTTAAAGTTACAGTGTTTTTATCTTTAAAATGAAAAAGTAATATATGCATTAAAGGAATACTTTCAGACATAAGTAACAACATTGACTGAACTTAGCCTAAATGGTAAGGAAGTGTCTTGCCGTAATAGGAATCCCAGAAGTGAAGTGATGCACAGGGTAGCTGCTGGCACTCCAGCCGTCACATCTAGACTCAGCATTTCCCAAAGGATGGCAAAGAACATCTCTTCTCCCATAAGAGCAAGGAAGCTTTTCCTGGAACACACTCCTCTTCCCAGTGGAATTCTTTCAAATGTCATTGGCCAGAACAGCATCAGATGTCTACCTTGAAAGCAGTTACAGGGATTGTACTGATTGCTTTAGTCAGCGAGAATTTACACCAGAGGTGAAGATGATGTTCAGTCCCCTGAACCACTGGCCAGAGGTGTGTTCTCCTAAGCAAGCAGGAGTTAGCAAGGGCAAGTGGGGGTGGACCAGTGAGGCAGCCAGTGTGGTCTGCTAGTGGGCATAATGTGTAAAGCCTTTGCCGACTCACAGGCATCAGGTGGGGACCTTTTACAGAAATCTGTGGTCTCTGAGGAGCATTTTAGCCTCGTTCATTAAAATTGTCTGTGAATTCCTATGTGAATACCTAAGGAATGTGATTTGAGAAGTTTTATTATAATCCCTCCAACAGAAATAATATATATGCAGTAACCATTTTTTCTTCTAGTTGCATTTAATCTGAATAAAGGAGCATGTAGTTCAGCAAGCGCGGCATCTTCCAAATCAAGGTGAGCTGCAGTAACAGTTACGGTAAAAACTAGGAAACTTTGTGCGATATTGGTTACTACTATTGTTTTTGTTTCAGTTTGCTTGTTGATTAGGACTTTTTTTTTGCTTTTATGAAATGATTTTGTTTTGAGGAAATGATTCATTTTATGTTTAACTTTTTGAAATCAGAATCTCACCCATGTGTGCCCTGGCTCCTGGGCACAAGCAGTCCTCCTGCCTCGGCTGTCTGAGTAGCTGGGACTACAGGCAGAGGCCACTGTACCCAACTTGATGAAATGCTTCACACTGATAAATGTGTAGTTCTCTGTGAATTATCCTCCAGTTAATGGTTCTATCTGTGTTACTGTAATACTATGCATTTTCCTATTGGCCTACTTCCCACAATTTAAATATTAATTACCTGTACAATTGTGATTTCCTGAGAATAGAGAGTAAGTTGTCAACCTATCTCCTTATTACACAGCGCAGTGTTTTTGTTGTTTGTTTTTGGTGCCAGAGATCAAACTCGGGACCTTAAATTTGCAAGGCAGGCAGTGGAACCACTGAGCTACATCCCCTGCCCCATAGTGCAGCATAAGTTCCTGTAGGATAATGGTATTTATTTAAAATAGAATAACATTGTAATGGGACTGTGCATACCATAGTAAATTATGAGAGTATTCTAGGAGGTTGAGGCATGGGGGCATTATTAAAGGCACAAATGAAGAAGATGGCATAAAATATTTTGAAACAATACTCCTCAGTCACATAGATTAATAACAAGAGTGGTACCTTTTACTCAGGGTTGGAGGCACCTGTGTAGAAGTTTTTGTGGTACCAGGGATTGGACTCAGGACCTTGTACTTATGAGGCAGGCAGGGTGCCATTGAGCTAAATCCCCTGCCCAGAAGTACTTTTTGTATATAAGGTTGCAGTAGCCCTTGCAGAAGGTTGTGACTCTGGCAGAATCTTTTATGATAATTACCACGAGGCAATCATGAATAAAGACACTTCCAGACTTCATAACCTCTTGGCTTTATTTGTTTATTTTTGTAGGGTAGATATAAATGACTCCATTTTTATTCTGATAACTTGCACACTTTCCATTCTTTCTATTCTTTGTTATTTCTCAGCATAGATGAATATGTATTAAGATTGATTCTACTCGGCTCTAAGATTGATCACTCTTATATTAGTTGTATGTGGCTACTACTGTGTAACAAATTACCACGAACACGTTGGCTTAAAATAACAGAAATGTGTCTCTGTAGATGCCAGAATTCTGACATCAGAACCACTGGGTAGACATGGAAGCATTTGGAGTGTTGTGCTCCTTCCAGTTGCTCTAGGGAAGGGTCTTTTTCTCTTCTGGTCCAGTGGCTGCTGGCATCCCTTGGCTTGTGATTGCACTCTTCTGGTCTTCAAGACCAATATCTTCAAACTTCTTTTCTCTGTTTTTACATAACCTTTTGTATTAGTCAGCTTTCTATTGCTCTGACAAAATACCCAATATGAACATCTTAAAGGAAAAAAGTTTATTTCAACTAATGATTTTAGAGGTTTCAGTCCACGTTGGCTGGCTCCAAGGCTGATTCTACTTTTTGTTTATAAATTTGACTGCTCTAGGAGCCTCATATAGTTAAAACCATGTGATATTTGTCCTTTTGCATGTGGCTTGTTTCACTTAGCATGACATCTTCAGAGTTTACCCGTGTTGTAACCTGTGGTAGAATTTCCTTCCTGTTTAAGGGTATCAGTTGGATATTCCACATTTTGTCACCCATTGGTGGACATTTGCGTTGTCTCTGTCTTTTGGCTGTTGTAAATACTACTACTGTAAACTCTGGTGTACACAGATCTGTTCTGATTTCCTGTTCTTAGTTTTGAGGGTTTTTTTTTGGCATAGATGCACATAAATGAAACTGTGGATGTTGTAGTCATTCTGTGTATACTTTTTTGAGGAACTGCTGTATCATTTTCCTGTAGCACCTGCAGAATTTTACATTCCTACTGGCTAATTCCCAAACATTCTGATTTTTTCATATCCTCACCAGTATTTCTTATTTTATGGTTTTTCTCATAACAGTGTAAAGTGGTATTTTGTTGTAGTTTTGTTTTTGTTTTAGGGTTTTTGCTTGTTTGTTTTGTTTTGTTTTTTTTTTTTTTTTTGGTACCAGGGATCGAACTCGGGTCCTTGTGTTTGCGAGGCAGGCGGTGGAACCGCTGAGCTGAATCCCCGGTCGTTTTGTCGTTTTGATTTGCATGTCCTTTGTGAACATGTAAGGAGACAGTATAATCACTAAAATGAAACATAATCTCTCCTAACTTGCCTTTTGCTCGATGTACTATTACTATGTAGACATACTGATGGTTAGAATTATCCCTAAATTGGGAAAGTTCCTGGCTCCCGGTACATTTAAACCTAAAGAACATTTAAGTAACATGTTCAGAAGTTTCTCTGTGTGTGCATGTAATCCGTTCACAACCAGAGCACATCATGTACGATTGTACCTGGGAATCAGAACTTAAAAATATGTTCTCTAGGTTGAACTATGAGGCAGATCCTGTAAATGAAGCTTAAAACGTACAGTTAGATAAAGAGACAGCAAAGACAAGGTGGGGAGTCTTGAACTTTAATCTACTGTATAGAAAAGATGTAAGAATTTTAGTTGAATTTAAAGTGAATGTGAGTCCTGAAAGTATCCTGGCCTCTAATAAATTTAATGCTGCCGTTAAATTCACTAAAAATAAACCTCAAATAAATGAAAGTAATAATTGTATTGTGTTCTCTACCAGTCACACTTTTTAAACTTATCATTTCCATGGGAGCTTGGTATAAATATGGCACATTAAGTAGACTGATAAGACTTACTTAGCAAGCGTTAATAAGTAGCTATTTTATGCAAGGCACATAGCAGTTACTGCCACTTCCACTTCCTAGGAGCAAAGGGTGTGCAGCTCTCCCGTCCTGAGAGAGGAGTCAGACACAAGTGCGTCTAACTGGACGTGGAGTGTGAGTCACGCCACACAGTGCTAGGGCAGGACGGAGAGATGGGAGAGCCAGGACCCACGTGAATAACGGATCCTAAGGAATTTAGACAGGTGGAGACTTGTAAAATGATTACACGTATAAACAAAGTATTTCAGAGGCCTGAAGCCCGTGGCGTGGCCCCGGCAGCAGCAAACTGCTCGGAGTGACCATAGCAGTATTCTGGTGATCACTGTATGTTGGCACCAAAGAAGTTTCAGTTTACTCTTATCAACACTAGCTCATCAGGAATAATCGGGAACTTTTGGTACATTGAAGTCTTTGCTTTAAAAAAAAAAAAACTGATCATAATGTGTTAAATTTCCACCAGTCATTTAAAAGCATCTCATTCAATGTATGCATTCAAGCTAGGAGTTGGATCATTTTATTACCCCTATGTATCCATGAGGGTCTGAGGCTTTCAAAAGAAAATTGCTGAGGGTCCTAACACAAGGAGCCCCAAATCCTGCTGTTTCCCAAAATGAAGTCGTTTCTACCACCATTTAACTATACTGATTATAGAAATAGTAGCCAAAGGGTAAAGAGGAAGAAAATGCAGTTAGTGATGGGCAGCGTAAAGGTTCTTTTGTGCTGACTACCCTGAGAGATGCAAACAGATCGTTTTTCTTTCTCCTCCTCCTCTTCCTTCTCTTCCTGATCTGCCCTAAATGAACCATGTAACGTCTATTGTATAGTATTCATTTCGCCCATTATAAAAGCTGTGTCTGCATAGTTCTTATGAACATGCACGGTTCTGTTCATCAGTTCTCTGGGGCCGAGTGCACTGAAGACGCTCGGGAGCACACCATCAGTGAAACGAAAAGAATCTCAGAGCTCAGCTCAGTCTAAAGAAAAGAAGAAAAAGAAATCTGCACTCGATGAAATCATGGAGGTATGGTTTATGAGCTACTTACAGGCATCGGGCAATTAGAGGAATGATATAAGTCAGTCCTAAGGAATTGTTGACGTCATTTTGCCATTTAGATTAATCGAAAGTTATAGAGATGTTTGTATAGGAAGTCAGGGAGAAGAAGCGTGGCTGCTGTTTCATCTGGTCAGAGCCGCCCCTCTCGATGTGCTTATCTCTCAGCTCTAAGTGCTGTCTTTAAAACTCCCTGTGCGATTAGATCAGTAGTGTGCAGCTAGAAGGGCTTAGTGTAACTGAGATGGGGTCTTCTGTGGATGGTCTGCTTCCTCCAGCTCATACTCTTCTGTTGTCTCTGATTTCCATGTGTTGCGTCCAAGCTAGCAAGAGAAAGCCCCGATGTGGTTTTAATTTGATTTAACCTGGTGACTAAGAGGATCCAATCAACCATTGAAAATATGTGATTATGTGGAGTTAGGGCCAAACTTTGGCTTTAAATCTACCCCAAACTGTAAGGAAACTGCAGAAAGCTCATAATGTATTCTAAATATTCTTTCTGTCTTCTGAATCAGAAGCTTACCTTATCAATGCATTTATAAAATAAGTCGAAGAAAAGAGAAAGGCCAGCAAAAGAGAAAGAATGGATTTAAGAAGCTAATTTTTTCCCCTTTAGTTTTGTTGCTGAAGTCTTTCCATCTCTTCATTTATAAAGGAATTGTCTTCTCTCTTACTGGCCCTCACACTATGCAGGGCAGCCTAAATGCTTAAAATAAAATATATTTATATATATATATTGCCAGGTGTGGTGGTACACGCTTATAATCCCTGCACTCGGGAAGCAGAGACAGGAGGACTGCCATGAGTTTGAGGCTAGCCTGGGCTACATGGTGAGTTTAGGGCCAAGCTGAACACAAAGGGAGACCTTGTCTGAAAACAAAATGTGTACACTGTGTAACAATATTATTCTGTCACACACTGGCTGTTACAGCGTGGGAAATGTGCAGAGGCGTCTGTGTTACACATAAACAGCCTTGCTGTGGAGCTTCCATTCTCCTGTGGTACTCATTCTGAAAAGAAGTCAACCGAAAATAAGAAATTGTGGAAGAGCTAAGCGCTGAGGAGGAATTGGGGGAAAAGGCAGGAAAGATCACAAGTCAAGTGGCAGGAGCCTACTAAGCTCATGGTGGTAGCATTTAATATAAGAGAGAAGCAGGGGCGACACTACAGAGGTCTCACATGCCTTAGGGGATTTTAAAACTTAGTTTAATTGGAAGAAAACAGAAAGGCGGATCGGCCTACTTTCTGTACAATACATGCTAAATTTGGAATATTCTTTGTTAGTTGAAGAATTTAAATGAGCTTAGGAATGCACTAAAGAATAATGTCATTGGATCCCACTGAAGTTGGTTGTAGATTAAGCGTAAGCGGTGGAGAGACAGAAAGTTAGGTACACAGCCCTCGGAGCCGGGCAGCATTTTGTTCTGGTACCACTCGATTTTCTGCTTCTTCCTTCTCGTTCACGAGCTGGGCCGTCACTGTCAGATAGGGAGCCTGTCAGACCTTCCTGATGTGCTGTGCTCAGTGGTCTGTGCGTTGTCGTCACTACCTGTCCAGCTCATGACACTCACATGGGAGGACAGGAGGGTGTGCGACAGCCCCAGAAGGTGGCCTTTAGCACTGACTAAACAGGGTCTTTGTTTTGTTTTGACATATATTTTAATAGTTAAGGTTTCTTTTCCAGTCAAAAACTAATTACAGTTAATGTTTATTTGTATTTATCAGAGCTTGCGAATTATTCATTAGTCTTTGGTGGAATATGGGTTTTATGGTGTTACTTTGTTAAACAGAGGCCATTTTGAGATAAATTATGGATTTTAAAGAGATAATCTTATGAATATCTCATGTGTTTTACAGATTGAAGAGGAAAAGAAAAGAACCTCTCGAACAGACTATTGGCTACAGCCTGTGAGTATTCAGTTGGAAATTCTTAAGTAACACGTTCACATATAGTAAATGACTTAGACTGATTAATGTCTCAAATACGTGTAAGTGATAGGGTTAGTTCTAATTTGCAGTGACTTTCTTCTCTGTTGCACCTTTAGCTTTAATGCAGTGTGTGGAGGGTTACTTCATGTTTATGGCCCAGTAATGCAGCTTGAGTTTAGTGCTGAATTTATTCATGGACATCTTGAATTTGAACCTGAAATTTCAGGCGATTTTGCAATAAGGCAAAAGAATGCGTTTTTAGAAATGAGATTAATAGAATTTAGACACTGAAGTATTTTTAATTTATGGCTTATTAAAATATCTGCTTAGAATGCCGGGCATGGTGGCGCACACCTGTAATCCCAGCACTTGGGAGGCTGAGGCAGGAGGATCGCTGTGAGTTGGAGACCAGCCTGGGCTACAAAGTGAGTTCCAAGTCAGTCTCAAGTACATAGTGAGAGCCTGTCTCAAAAAAACAAAAACAAAAACAAAAACAAAAAATACATATATATATATCTGCTTAGAGACATTGTAGAAAAAAATCAGGTCTTAATTTACAAACTCAAGGAAGGTTTATGTTTAATTGCTTTTTGATTGTTGTTAATTTTAAAATTTACGGTAATTTTCAAATATTTACTATAGTTTCTTAAGTTACTGTTTACTAGTGCCCTGCTTTGGACTGAGATGCAAAGTATTCCTAAATCTTTGAGTCCTTTAGTTAGTTCTTCAAGCACTGATTTCATAAATAATAGGGAAATGAAAAGTAATACATTATTTAGATGATTTCTGATTTGGGAAGTTAGATTACAAAGCTCTGTCTTAACGAAAACACTGAAAGGGACAGTCAGCGGCCCCACTTACGTCTGCGGTAAGAGCGTTCGTGTGTGAGCAGATGAACTGACCACTAACAGGTGAGGACCTCAGGCAGCCTGCCCTCCTCCACGGGCACCCACGACGTGGTGCTGGGCATCAAACCCATATGGGCCTTGCACACACTAAGCAGGCACTCTACTGCTGAGTGACGTGCACAGCCCCACTTACTTAAAAAAAGTTTTTAAAAATAGGACCAAGGATGTAACTCATGGTGGAGGCTTCCATAGTACACGTGAGGCCCTGAGCTCAGTCCCAGCGCTGAAAGCAGCCACTCAGTGATGCCCTTCCTGCTTACTCCCCCACCCCTTTTTATTTTGATACGGGGATCCGACTCAGGCCCTTGCTCTTGCAAAGCAAGCGGCGAAACCACTGAGCTAAATGCCCAGCCCAAAACGTATTCCCGTTTTAAAGAAAGGATAGCGTGATTTAAAGAGAAGGATTTTCTTTTATTTATTTATGAGCATAATACTGCGGTTTAAAGACCTTCAGTAGTTTTCTAGTACTCATATTCACGTTATGAAACTTTCTTCTGTGACCAGTAGTCACAGAAAAGCTTCCCCTTTGGCATCATTTCTTTCAACTTCTCTGGAAAATACACACCAATGAGTAACTTACTTCTGCCTTCCAGAAGCAGTGTAGGGCTCCACGTGTCACTGCTAGGTATCCAGTGGTCTCGGGTCTGTTCCCTGCATGCTTGCCTTGCCTACTCAGAAGGCCGTGGCCCTGCAGACAGGGACAGGCACGAGTCATCCTCAGCTTCTGTCCGCTGCTCTGGGCTGGTGACTCAGCACCCTGCTCAGCTCTGACAAGCCTGGCCCGGGGAGAGCTACCACTGTCAGGGTTGTCTGCCACAGAGCAGGGGAATTCAGGGCCTGATGTTCTTACCACCCTCCTTGGGTCTGAGGCTCTGGTGTCGGAAGGCTCCCAGCGCTAGCCCAACCCTGGTACTCACCTGAGTAGGAAATTAGGGTGAGGCAAACTGTGCCACTGGGAAAAGCCTGCTTTCCTGTGTAGTTCCCAGACTGACGTCACTTCCATTGCAGGAGCTGGTGGAACTGAACTTGTCTGATAAGCTTGAGATCAATAGGGAGGAATGGAGGCCACTAAAATTTACAGTGAAGAGCTGAGAGTTTTTAAAATTCGCTACTCAAGGGCCTGGATGTAGGTCAGTGACACCACCCCTGCCTGGCAAGAGCAAGATCCTGAGTTCAATCCCCATTACCAGGAAAATTAATTAATTAAATTAATTCGCAGGCCAGGGATTTAGCTCAGTGGTACAGCCACCTGCCTCTCAACCACAGATCCTGAGTTTGATCCTTGGTACCAAAAAAAAATCGCTACTCTGGAAATCTTGGGGACTGAGGGAAATGCGAAATCATTCATGTTTGTGTTTTCCCTGTAAAAGGCAGTCTTTACAGAGAATTTGTTAAAAGGCAGGTACTGATAAAACCAAAGAGTTTTATGTAGAACATGTTTATTTTGGTCCCCCTTTATAGACATTTTTATTTCTATCTTAAAATGAGTCATCTGTTTTCATGAAAAGAAAATAATGTTAAAATGCTGTTTGGTATATAAAATAATGATATTCCTACAAAACCAGATCATAACTAATGATACGTTTATGATAATGGTGATTGTTAGAGTTTATGAGAAATGAGTAGCTGGAGCTATGTAGCAACACTTAGTTAAATTTTGGACCTCAGACACTGTGGCTCTCTAATGCAGTCCTTTAAAAATTCTCTGCATTGTCAGTGACTGTAGAGTACTTATTGTACAGTACTCGGGATTTTTTTTTTTAAGTTTATGAAGTTATATTTATCAAATAAAAATTTTCCTACATTAAAAAAATCTTGAAAAACCATGAAGTTGTAATTTAATTCTTTATAGTCCTTCTCCCTCCAGTGTGAAAATACTTAATTTATGTTTGTTATAAATATCATGGTGGGAAGCACTGTGATCAAGTGAAAGATCATGAAATAAGTTATCTAAGGTGAAAATACTTGCTGTGTTAAATGCAAAATAAACATTTCATATAAATTATTTTAGTTAATTCTCATAACAGGTCTCTAAAATCATGGCACTGCCAGGCGTGGTGGGCACACATCTGTAATCCCAGCACTGGGGAGGCTGAGGCAGGAGGGTCGCGGCGAGTTCGAGCCCAGCCTGGACTACATAGTGAGTTCCAGGTCAGTCTCAACTATGCAGTGAGACCCTGTCTCAGAAAGCCCAAAATAAATAAATAAATATACTCATTGCACTTACCATTCCTACTGTACAGGTACAGAAACTGAGGTATAAAATACTTTTTCGAAGGTCACCTGTTAAGTGAGGAGTCAGGATTTCTCTGGTGTTCTCCTTGACCTTGTAGTTCTGCCCACTGATGCCTTGATCTTGAGTAAAAGTTTAGGTCATTGGGAACTTGGGAATATCGCATGGGGTAGAAGAATCTAATTTTCTTACTTCAAAGATTGGTAATGGAAGGACCGGTAGGGAAGAAACAATCTATGAATTATTTAGATTTGTTTTCCTTGTTAGAGCAGCTGGCATTGAACATTAATAGTTCCATAGAGAATTTTGCTTAAATCAGTAGTTTAACCAGAGAATAATTCAAAACTTAAGAGAGTTTTTTTTTTTTTTCAAAATCCATGTGCTCCAAAATACTGCATCCAGTCTCCTGGGTGAAGCACAGCTTTTTATCTACCTCCCAAGTGATTCTGCCTTGGCTAAGAACTGTTGGTTTAAAGGAAAAAGGAAAACCAATCAAGAGAGGGTAAAAAGGCACAACACTCCCAGGTTTTAGCCCCCACATTTTCTTTGTCTTGGCAATACTTGGCAATTAAATTTTACTTTCTATTGGATAATTTTACCGCAAGTGCGTATCTTTCATAGTTCTTGTTACATTAAAAGTTTTGCTCTGCCAGCAGTGCAGTAATGACTCAGTTTGTCTCTTGCTTTGAAGTGGATAACAAGTACCCCCAAATGCAAAGACCCAATTAAAAATGGGCTTCTGAAATGAACAGACGGTTCTTAGACAAAGAGTAAAAAGCGGCAAATAAACATATGAAATAAATGTTCAGCATCACTGGTCATTGGAGAGATGCAGATGAAAACAGCACTGAGATTCCTCCTCACTCCAGAAAGAATGGCTGCTATCAAGTAATCAAACAATAACAAATGTTGGCAGGTTGTGGGGAGAAAGGAACCCTTCTCCATTGTTGGTGGGAGTGCAGACTGGTGCAGCCACTATGGAATCAATATGCAGATACCTCAAAGAACTAGGAGTAGAAGTTCCACTTGATCCAGCTATTCATTCCTCTTCTGCGTATCTTCCCAAAAGAATTGAATCATACCACAGTGATATATGCTCACCCATATTTATAGCGGCATAGTTTGTAATAGCTAAAACTTGGAAACAGCCCAGGTGCCCATCAACTGGAGACTGGATAAAGATGTGGGTGTTTTTTAATAAAGTGGAGCACTACTCAGCTATAAAGCACTTGAAACTAGAGACATTTATAGCTAAGTGGATGTGCATTGAGGCCATACTCTTAAGTGAAACGAATAGGACACACGAGTAAATACTGAATAGTTTCTCTGGTGTGAAAAACTAAAAGTGTAAATAAGGATCAAAATGTATAATTGATATTGTGAAATAGGAAGAAAAGGTCTAAAGGAGTAGGGGAAGTGGGAGGGGTAGGGGAAAGGAAAGTAGGGAAAAGAAAAATATGAGAAATGGAAAAATCTGAAAACAAAGTCTTTGTAAATAGGGAAGGATGGAGGGAGGGCAGGGGAATGGGAAAAATAAGAACCAAGACCTGTCCTGTAAACGTACAAGATCCTGATGATGAATGTAACTGTATACCTAGTATGTACCAATAAACTTAATGGGGGATAAAAAAGAAATGGATAACAAGTTTATTAAAATAATAACCAGCATTTCACAGAGACAGAGTTGGAGGGCTTTATTTCTTAAACTCAGGAAAAACATAGTTTGAACAGATCTGCTGTAAGAAAGTGATGTGGTAAATTATCGTCGGATAGGTAGAGTATGATCCCATGAGAGTCTGAGAAATGTAACCTAGGAATATTTTGGTTGAATCAGAGATGTTTTGGTATTAATTGGCCTCAGTTAGAAAGTCTCAGCAGAGTAGAGCCATAAGAATAAGACCATTGATGTTTTCCCTTAACCATGTCTTTCTACTATGAAATAGCCTTCCCCTGAAGTGAATATAGGCAATTTCATTTCATTATTAGCCTTTAGAGAGTCCAAATCACAAAGCAACAATAAAACAGCAAATTTAGGATTCATAGGACATAAGCCCAAATTCCGCTCTCATTCGTGATGAGATTCTCAGAAGAATAATTTTAGCTAAAACTGATCTGGAGGGGTCCTATTTATATGAAAAATTCAAAGCAACCTATTAAGAAAAGAACATTGTGAAAAGTATCGTGCATAACCTCACAGCCTGTTTGCAATCCTCAGTAAAACTTATAATCAGTTTCTAGTAGCAGCAAGCACCAGAAATGTGATGTCCTTGGTACCTTTCACTGTCTTGAATGAACAGAGAGAAAGAAGCTGTCTGTGGCAGGCGTGAATTGAAGGGGTGGAGATTCACAGACAAGAGTCCTAGATCTTGACTGAGCACGGCAGCACACGCCTGTAATCCCAGGACTCTGGGAAGCTGAGGCAGGAGGATTACAAGTTTGAACCCATCAGGGGCAATTGAGTGACTTAATAAGACTCTCCCAAAATTAAAAATAAGATGGTGATGTAGCTCAGGGAAAAGGCCCTAGGATCAAGTCCCTGGTAACACACCCAAACACCCAAAAAAGTCCTAAATTTTATTTCATTGTAGAAATCAGTGATTTTATGTCACCTCACTCCCTTGGTAACTATGTGAAGAAGAAAAAAAAAAAAGATTACTAACTAAAGGTTGGTTACACCATTAGGAAAGACTAGAACTCCCTACTTTCTTATTTAGCAGACCAATTATATTTTAGTATGGATTTTGGCAAATGTGGTTTAGAAAGAAGTAAAATATAAAAGATAAATTTATATCTTTTCCTTCATTTAAAAATTTTTAAATTTGTTTTTGTTGCTGTTATTTTCTAGGAAATCATTGTGAAAATTATAACCAAAAAACTTGGAGAGAAATACCATAAGAAAAAGGGTATCGTTCAGGTGAGGATATGAAGTTATGTACTGAATTTCTGAAAAAAGCTGGCAGGTAACCAAGTGAAACTATTTTGAAATTCCTTGCAAGTCAAATCCTCGTGTCCCAAGTTTTGTGTCTAAGGTTCTGCTTATTCTATAAAATGAAGTCTGAACACATAATTGTTAGAGAAATGCTTCTTGTCCAACCGTGCTTAACCTTGGTCTGTTTTCTTGTTGGGCATAGTTTACATGAAATCCCATAGGTGCCATGTAAAAAACTCAGCATGAGGGCCAGGGATTTAGCTCAGAGGTGCCGCCGCCTGCTTCGCAAGCACAAGGACCCGAGTTCAATCCCTGATAGGAAAAACAAAAACACTCAACATGCCCATGTTGCTAATTCATCAGTAAAACCTGTTCTGGTCATTGCTGGGCAATATTCCCGTACCACTTGAACAAGGGTTTTCTGTGTAATGTTGTGGGAACTGTCTTGGCTGCTCCAGATTTTGAAATTCCAGCCCTTTCTGCTTTTTGCCTTTCCTAAATACAATTCATTCTAACACCCAGCCTGCTGCATATAGAAACTGCCCTTCTTTGGGCAAAATCGCCCCAGCTAGGTTTCTTAAATTAAAATTTCTTAAATTATTATTCTAAGGTTACTATTTTCATTTTCTTTTCAACTGAAAACTTTAAGCTTCTTTTTTTTTTTTTTTTTTTTTTTTTGTGGTACTGGGGATCGAACCTAGGACGTTGTGCTTGCCAGACAGGTGCTGTGCCACTGAGCTACATCCCTGGCTCGAAATCTTTACGCTTTGAATTGAGTTCTTTACTGAGAACTGTAAGAGTTAACTCTTATCTTCTAATTAGAATTTTGTTTGCTTTTATTTATTTTGTCCTTTTAATTTAGCATTCACATATTTCTTCTGTTACAAAAATATTCATTTTGCACAACAGGAAGTAATTGACAAATACACAGCTGTTGTGAAGATGATTGGTTCTGGAGACAAACTGAAACTTGACCAGACTCATTTAGAGACAGTGATTCCAGCACCAGGTAAATCTGTGGACCGTTTACTGCATGTGCCATCAAAATGAGCGATTTCATTCTTAAAACCATAGCTTTTGATATTACTTGATGGTTAGAGACGTGTTTCCCTTTCAGAAATATTAATTGCTGAGGTAACAAATCCCCGTATGACTTCAGGGAGCATGATAGTCATCTAATCAAGAGATTTTGTGTCCTAAATGAATTTTCCCTTTCCAGAAAACATCCACCACCCCTGAGTCCAAACAGATATATATGGATAAAATCAGTCATATTACACTGATGAGTATGTTTGGTTATCTACTTGAGATAGTAGGAAGTCTGTCCTACTTACTTTTTCTAACTAACTACCCCTGTTATTTGAGTGTTCGTACAAATGTAAGCCCTGCTTGGTTAGGTAGTTTGCCTCTGACTCAGTCTTGTCGGCAGTATCATTCTGGTACATTGATAACGTCAGTCTTGGAATTTCCACTTACATTTTTTTTTTTTTTGGTACTGAGGATTTAACCTAGGGCCCTCACACCATTCCACATCCCCTGCCCCTTTTTTTATTTTTTATTTTTGAGACAGAGACTTGCTACTTTGCCCAGACTAGGCTGGAATTCATGACCCTCCTGCCTGAGCCTCCCAGAGTGTTGGGGTTACAGGTGTGTGCTGCCACTCCCCGCTCCACTCATCATATTCTTTTTCTCTTTTCTTTCTTTCTTTCTTTTTTTTTTTGGTACCAATCAGGGATCGAACTCGGGCCTTTCGCTTGCGAGGCAGGCAGTGACACCACTGAGCCGATTCCCTGGCCCTATCATATTTCTTTTCTTCTGGAATAACTCTTCTTACAAGTTAGAAATGTGTTTTACCGAACTGACCCACATATGTACTAAGAGATGGTGAACCTTCTAGAGCTCTCAGTGCGGCAGCCCACTGCGCACGTGTGCCACAGGTTCGGCACCACTGATACCTCCAATGTACAGTAAATCACACTCGTGTCAGAAGTGCTCTGATCGGGGCCGGGGATGTAGCTCAGTGGTTCTGCCACCTGCCTTGCAAGTGCAAGGACCCGAGTTCGATCCCCGGTATAATAAAAAATGCACTGATGAGTTTTCAGATACGAATACTGTTTTAACCATCTGTATAATCAAGATGATCAATATCCGCCTTTACTTCCCTTTCTGATAACCTCTATCCCACCCTCTACTCTGCTCTCTTTCCTTCCCAGGCAGCCAGAGATTTGCTTTCTGTCACTCCAGATTAGTTCCTATTTTTCTAGAATTTTATGTGAGTAAGATCATATTGTGTGTCTTGTTTTTTCTTCTTTTCTTTTGGTCTGGCTTCTTTCACGTCACACAGTGGTTCTAGTTGGCCTGTGTTGTTGTGTCTCTCTCATTGTTTGCCTTCATTTTATTGCTGAATCGTTTGTATCGGACAGGCACACCGCAGTTTGTCCAGTGACCTGTTGGTAGACCTTAAATTATTGATACTTTTGATAGATATGGATAAAACTGCTATGAGCGGTCCTCTATAAATCTTTGTGTGGATACTGTAATTTGCTTTCTCTTGGGAAAACACTTCAAATTGTTGAGTCATACAGCTTAAATCTTTATAAAACTGCCAAGCTATCGTAAGAATTTTGAAAAGAGATAAAATAAAGTAGCTGAATTTCCTGGAATTTTGTTTGCTTTTCTAGGCTCTGAACATTTTCTCCAAGTACCTTGAACTCTTTACAATCTAAAAACCTATTCCTTTAACAAATCAGAAAAATGAGGAGTCATATGTTAGTGTTTACAAATGGCACAGTAGAATTCTACCCATTTCTTATGTGATGAAAAACTTCTAAGAGCAGTTTCAGTTTTCGTATGTTCATTCAGTGTGAGGAATTTTGGTTTAATAAAGTGCACATTTCTTTGCATTAAGTTTTATATTCTTATCTACTCTAGGAAAAAGAATTCTAGTTTTAAATGGAGGTTACAGAGGAAATGAAGGAACCCTAGAATCCATCAATGAAAAGACTTTTTCAGCTACTATCGTCATTGAAACTGTAAGTTTGCTTAACAAAGACAAAAACCTAAAAATGCCTTTAAGTTTTTCTCTGTTCCTTTTCAATTTGATCACTGTTTATTTTAGAGTGTGGGTTGTTTGTTTGCCATTTAGATTTGTTGTTGTTGTAGTCGTTATTGTTTTGAGACAGGATCTTGCTCTGTAGTTTAGATTGTCCTTGAACTTACTTTACTGTGTAGCCCACGTAGGCCTCAAACTCATGGTGACCCTTCTGCCTCAGCCGCTCACATACTGGGATTGCAGGTGGGCACTGCTACACCTGGCTTTCTATCCCATTTAGAAGAAATCTGTAACCTTATTTTCTCTAGCAGTTCTGCCGTTGATGAAGCCTTTTGTTTTCTCATTACAAAAGGAGTCTGTATTCATTGTATAAAACTTGAAAATTACTATTGCGTATAAATAATTCTAAAAATCACCCATGACCTCCGAGCCCAGGGAACAGCCCTGTTAATATGTGGTCTGTTCCTGTCCAGTCTTTGTATGTTTTTTTTTTTGGTTTTTTTGAGACAGGGTCTCACTATGTAGTTGCGACCGACCTGGAACTCACTGTGTAGCCCAGGCTGGTCTTGAACTCACAGCGATCCTCCTGCCTCAGCCTCCCGAGTGCTGGGATTACAGGCCTGTGCCACCACACCCGGCTCAGTCTTTGTGTTTTTATCAAGAGCCAGTTTCTTCTGTCACTAATGTACTCACAGCTTCATCTTGTTTTTCTGATGCTTTAGTTGCTCAGAGGGATGTGTTGAGATAGAACCTATGAACAAAACCACATGAAAACCTTTCCACCTAGTTGCCAAGCAACATGTACTTCTGGAAAAGAAAATCTTATTTTTTTAAAAAAATTTTTTTGGTTGTTTTGAGACGGGGGTCTCACTATGTAATTCAGGCTGGCCTTAAACTCATAGTGATCTTCCTGCCTCAGCCTCCCAAGTGCTAGGATTACAGGTGTGTGCCACCGCATTAGGATATTTTCCAGTTTTTTGGTTCTTTATCTTCCTCTTTTTCCCCCCTGCCTGCCCCCATTTTCAAAAACATGTCTGTTTATATGTGCATGTGTTTCCTCTTTTTTGAGTCCCTAAAACTTTTCTAGTGGTTTCTTCTGCTATTTTTATCATTTCTGCAGCAGATTTAAAAAAATTATTAAACTTTCATTTTTTTTTAATATAGCGAAACCTTTGTTGGTACATTTCAGGCCTACGTAATGGTAGCACTCCGCAGGGAGCTCGCACCTGTCCATGGTACATCCTGCCCCTCCTCCCATGTCCCCTCCTCCCCTCCGGCCCCCTCCCCTCCCTTTGTACGAAAGCTTTGTTTCCATTTTTGTCCATTTTCACTTTTTTCCTGTCCCTTTCCTTTCTCTCTTCCTCCTTCCTTGTTTCTCTTCCCATTTCCCAACATCTCTTACACCTTTCAGTCCTTATTTCCACTTTGGGTTCTCACACCACAGAAACCGTGCAGTGTTTAAACGTGTGTCCGGTTTATCTCACTTAAGAGTGAGGCTCACAGTCCCTCCACTTAGCTGTAAGTGTCTGAAGCTCGGCCTTCCTTATGGCAGAGTACTGACAGCAGATTTTTAATAGTTGATAAATTTTTTTTTTTTTTTTTTTTGGTACCGGGGATTGAACTCCAGTCCTTGCGCTTGTGAGGCCTGTGGCAGAACCACTGAGCTAAATCCCTGGCCTGATAAATTATTCTTAAACAGCCTCAGATTTTCATCTTTTTGTCTAACGATCCCCAGTGTCTGGCTTCCTTCTGCCCCAGAGCTGAGTTATCAGAAGCATGTAATTGACCATACAGCTTTAAACACAGTAATGAAAAATTCAGCCTAGCCTGTGCTTTATCTAGGAACTCATTTCCTTTCGATATAATCATTATTTTAAAAGACTGAAACTTTAAAAAGCATTTTCAAAGAAGTTAAGATTCTTAGTTACACATATTAAAATATTAAAACCTCAGCCCAGGATTAGAGTGTTTTGTATTCTGCTAAAGAGACGATCACTTTCCTAATTGTAACGAAAAGATTTAATAGTAACAGTTGAACTCTGTTGACCTTTCCTCATTCCAAGTATCGTTCTAAGCATTAAATATGTATACATTTGTTTGTTTTTCCAACACCTCAGTTACACAGGCACTGCTGTCACCCCCACCGGGGACACAGAAATGTACAGGCACTTTCCGGGGGTGGGAGTTGAACCTGGGCAGGGCGGGCCAAGAGCCTGTGCTCTGAGGCTCTGTGTGCCCAGGCCGTCTCTGCTTTGGAAGCGTTTCCTGTTCCTTTTCTGTGGATATGAAGGGAAGAAGAAAGTTGGACCCATTTTCTGTAGTGTAGACCGACCTTATTAACTAGATAAGCAAGTTTGAATATCTGTATTTCTTATAAAAATATTAGCCATAAGAATACCCCCTGCCCCAGTGGATAAAGGAGCAAACATGTAGACATATTACAAGTCAAAAATAGGTACTTTTCTTTCTGTCTTTTAGGGTGGTTCTAGAATTGAACCCCAGGGCTTTCGCACTGATCAACATCCCCAGCCCTTTTATTTTTATTTTCTGACATGGTCTCATTAACTTACGAAGTTGTCCATGCTCAGCTTGAACTTGTGATCCCCGTCTTGCCTCAAAAGTGAATGTTTTAATCGGAATATAGCCCTTTTCTAAGTGGTGACTTGTGTCTGCAGGATCCTTTCCGTGAGTGGCCCTGTCATATCCAACATGTGACATCTACAGTTGCTGGTCAGGGAGGCCACAGAGGAGCACAGGGACTTCAAGGGAAGCCTAGTTGGGGTTCACTGCCTGGGCTGGAGCGCCCTCTCTGGCCACACCCACTGACCAGGGGACATGCCAAGTGGCCAGCTGGTCTCTAGCGCGACATCTGTTGGTACCACATGTCAAATAGCTTTGGAGAAAATAGCTTTTGTAAAAATGGAGATGCCATAGATTATTTTTAAAATCCATAGGTGTATAGAAACGTTAGATACCTTCATGATATTTTAAGGATATGGAAAAGATAAATTTGTATCCATAAATGTGATGTCATTTTAAAAACTTTTAAAATTCATGTTTTTAATCTTTTCTTAAATTATTTTAATTTTAGGGCCCTTTAAAAGGACGCAGAGTTGAAGGAATTCAATATGAAGACATTTCTAAACTTGCCTGAGTTGGAAAATTTATTAACAATGCATTAAAATCCTAAAGCATCAAATTGGTGTTTGCCAAAATATTGTGAGACTCTACTGTGTTAGGGTATTTCTTTGTATAAAACAAATGGACTTATTTAAATATTATTGTATAGTTGTTTAGCTAAATTTATAGAAAATTCTAATTATTTCTCCTAAAAGTATCAAAAGTATAATTTTAACCTTGTTTTTTTTCTTTTCTTTGTAACATTTCTTTGATGATTTTTTGATCTTCATTAAAAATATTATAAAGTGTTTTGTATAAGACAATTTAGAATCCTATAATTGGAAGAAATCCTTCAAATACTCTTAATTTATATTTTCAGTAGAATAGTAATTGAACAGTAATGTAAATATAATTAAAATTTAAAAAGGCAAGCTATGATAATACCTTTATTGTGATATAATTCACACACCATACATAGAATTCACCCATTAGAGTGTATAATCCACTGGTATATGTACAGAGATGTGTAACCATCTCTACTAAGTTTTGAGGATTTTTTCTATTACCCCAAGAAGAAACCCTGTCCACAGTTCTGGCAATGATTAATGTTCTTTCTATCTCTTTAGATTTGCCTATTCTGGACATTTTAAATAAATGGAGTAATATGTGGGTGGTTTTTGTACAGTGGGCATCTGCCTTACATTTAGCATAGTGTTGACAAGACGCGTCCATGTTGTAGCACGTGAGAAGTCTTCATTTCTTTTATTGCCATACATTCTGTCATGTGGATGTGCCACATTGTGCTCATCCACTCGTCAGTGATGGGCTTCTTGGCTGTTCGGAATACTGCTGTGACATTAGTGTATGAGACTTTCTGTGGGTTATGCTTTGGGTTCCTAGTGGTAGAACTGCACAGTCATATTATAAGTTATATCACATTTAATATTTTGAGGAACTGCCACGCTGTTTTACCTAGTACCTGCATCATATTAGCAGTGTCTGAACTATACATTTTCAAGTAAATAAGGAATGTATTTTGGGATGCCGAAGTTTGGAGACCTACCTCATACTTGTGTATACCTCCCGTTCCACACGCATGCACGCGCACACACACACACACACACACACAAGAAATTTACAATTTGCATAACAAATCCAGTGCAGCAGGATCTAAATGTGACAGGGCTTGGTTTTTGTGCCTGTGATTTCTCTGTTAGCACCATTCTCAGGCACTCTTAAAAGAGCAAGATGGCTCACAAAATCTCTAGGTTTATATCTTAACCTTTCAGCAGCACCCGTAAAAAGCAACTGTCTTCTGTGGTGATTCAAACAGAAGGCCTAGAGTTGGGCAGATCACTCCAAAGGAAAGGATGGGATACGCTGCCTGACCAAGCGGGGATTGTGTGTCACCCCTGGGCCATCTGGCTTGGACTGAGTAGAAGGGTAATAATTTCTGTCATCCCTCCAAGACAGCTTCACAGCGTGGTGTGATGCAAAGCAGCTGGGTCTGTAGTTGGGCTGACTTCAGACCACATGTTGGACGCTGTGCTCACTAGATCTCTAACCTTAAAGGGCTGATGTTCAGTGGTAAAACTAACGAGTCCTGTTTGGCTGATGTGAGAACTGCGGGAAATATATAAAGTTAAAAGAAAAGAAAATACATAAAAAGTCTCAGACATAAAGCTTGGTATGTACAAAGGACCCTTGACTTGCAAACTCAATTTGTTCATGAAGGCTGATTGTAACTCAAGTCGGTTGTAAGTCAAGACTTTTTCCTATAAGAAATAATGGAAATACCTATAGTGCATTCCAAACCTCCCAAAGCACGATTAAGTAACCTTTTCACAATAAAAAACGTTGTATAATGTGTGCAATTTACCAGAAACACCCAATAGTTTTCCCAATATAGTCACCAAATATTTATAAAATGTGCCTCTTTTACCATAAACAGGGATATCACTGTGTTCACCACTCAGGCTGACATCTTGGCTTACAGGGATTGAGGATGAAATAGAAGTGGGTTACTGTTTGGAAGGAGAAGTCCCCTTTCAGGAATTGGCTCCTTTCTCTCCTTGGGAGCGTCTGCAGCCCACTAGGATCTGCTTCTGGCAGATCTGCTAGGCCTCAACCGGCATTTAGGGTCGAAATTCAAGACTTTGGTCATAAGTTAAAACTACAATTCCGGTCATAGCCCAAGTTGTTTGTATATGAAGCTGGTCGTAACTCAAGGGTCCGCTGTAGTGGGTGTTCAGTTAACATCGATGGTGGTGCTGTTCATAAATGGAGCCAAATACAAAGCCTGTGTGAGTACTGATGCAGAATTTCAATAAGGAAGGGAGCTGTCCTTGATAACAGTGTGATGCATAAAATGTGACAAATTACATAAACCTCTGCCCAACGTTTGGAATATAGTCAGTGGCTTTCTTTGTAGGAAAATGATTCTTTTCCTGCTTCTCACATGTAATTCTTTTCTCCAGCATCTACTTGAAATTCTCTTGGAATGAAATAAAATAGTGTACATCTGGTTAGATTTATTGAAAAAGATCTGAAGCACAAAAATGTGGTCCTAGACCACAAACCAGTCTTTCTCCTAAGTTCTTAGAGGACAGTAGAGGTGTTGAGATGTATCAAATCCTGATGCCTTTTCCTCACGAAGCATCAGAAACTATCCCTTTTCTGTTGTAAAAACGAGGCTATTTTTGGAGTAGTTTCCGTGGACTTTGCAAATGTACAGCACGTGTCCGACGTTGCAGCTTTGAACACGGGGCAGCACTGGTTGGCCCTGGAACCCACGCTCCGCTCGTTCCTCCCGCCCCGCCCCCGGCCCTGTTCTTTTTACCATCTCCTAGTTTTGTCTTTCCCGGAACACCATATGGTTAGCATCGTTCAGTGTGCAGCCTTTTTAGATTAATGTGCATTTAAAATTTCCCGCGTCTTCTCATGGGTTGATAGCTCATTTCTATTTAATGCTGAATAGTATTCCATTGAGCATTTCATACTTTATCCATTTGGCTTCTGAAGGACCCTGGTTTCTTCCAAATTTTTGGTAATTAAGAGTGAAGCTGCTACAAACAGCCTATGTACACTTCTGTGCAGATGCAAATTTCAACTCATTTGAGTATATTTCAAGGATCATCGTTGCTAGATTACATATGAGTTATGTTTCCTTTTGCGGGAGACCACCAAACTGTCTTCAGAAGTCGTTGTACTAATTTGCTTTTCCACCAAGAATAAACGGAGAGTTCTTGCCTCTCACGCTTGCCGGTGTGTGGTGTTGTGTTCCGAACGTTGACTGTGCCGTTCTGTGTGTGGTGGCATCTCATTGTTTTCGTTTGCAATTTCCCAACTACATTTGGCCCTGGGCGTCTTTTCGTGTGCTGCTCGTTTGCCATCTGTCTGGTGCAGCATCTCGTCAGCTCTTTTGCTCATTTTTTAATTGAGTCAGTTGTCTCCCTGTTGCGTTTTGAAAGGCTTTTACAGCAGCCTGTTATCAGATATGTCTTGCATTAATTTCTTTCTCCAGTAAGGCTTGTCCTTGCATATTTAGAAAAGCTATTATTTTTATCACCCTGCTTAGCTCTTACCAAATTATTAGCATTGCTGTTCTAGAAGACCACATCCCCTGAGTTTTCACTACTGGAATGGCAGTAAATCCTGTTGTCTTCTTTGCTGATTTTCCCTTTTGTCTTCTGGCATCGACTTGCAAGCGCCTATCTGCTTTTTTTGACACAGTTCATATTCATTCAGTAAACACTTCCGTGAGCGTCTGCAGTAGGTGAGCCCTGCACTGGACAGGAGAGACAAGAGTGGAGGGCAGGCATAGACCCACGGCGCATCCTGTACGGGGCATGGAAGCACAGAATGAGAGCACGAGCCAGCCTTGACTGTAAGTCGGTTATTAAGTTGACTGAAAAACCCTAGAAATATTATTTGTATGATTGAGTCATTATACCATTAAAGGGAAATGTTTTTTTTCTAACTAGATGTTTCAGAAAAAGTCATGAAATAGATTTGTGAAGTGTGAAAAGTTGAAAAAAATCATTCTGAGTTCTTATAGCATAAAAAGCACTGTGTGTTTTTAGACAGCCATGTGACTTTTACTTTGGCTTTATTGGATCTTTAGGTCATTTTTATCTCCTTCCATTTGGAGAAGGCTGGAGAAAAGATGCCACTTGAGGGCTCTTAAGGGTTCCTTTAGAACATGAGTGACTTGCATTAAACTAACACCTCCGACCAGTCCTTACTGAAATAATTCCCGATCCTTAGTTCATTTGCCCGATATTGAGCAAGATACTTCTTAAGACAAGACATTATTTAATAATATTTAGTTCTATCTTTAGATGGACAGCTTTCCACCCCCCCCAACTTATCTAATTTTCAGCAGTTTAAAAGCATAGTAATTTAAAGGTAATTTAAAAGCAAATAAACTGTGACCAAGGTATTATCTGAGCCAAGAGTCTATTTTCCTTGAACATAAGGCTGACACTTTCCTGAGAGTAAAACATGTACGTCTAATTGGTTTAGCCATGACTGAGAGGCTGATGCTTGAGGAACGCTTTGAACATAGGCTTATAAAAGCCCGAAAGGTGGTTAGTAAGTCTCACAAATAGTAGCCCCGTAGTAGATCAGCCAAGATTTAAATGATGTGTAAGTTCCCAGTAAGCAAAACAAATGGCATGTGTCTAAAGAAATCAGGATACATTAAAACAAAAACTTTCTAGATAAGTCTTCATTTTGAAATTTAAAAAGATCCGGTATTACTGATTTTAGTTTCTATGTAATTGAGATTCATTTGAATTACCAAGACATGAATCGCCTATAGCACGTTTCACAACTTGGAGATTTTATTTATTTTATATTTTGGTGCTCTGGATCTGGATTAAACCTAGGACCTAATGCAGGCTAAGTACACACTGCCACTGAGCTATATACCTCAAGCCAAACATGTAGAGGTTAAAATGTCCTAATGAACAAATATATAGTTAATTTTAAAAGTAGCTTTATTAAGTGATGATTAAAATTAAATATTAGAGCTGCTGGGTGTGGTGGGGCATGCATGAAATTCCTGCACTCAGGAGGCTGAGGCAGGAGGATCACTGTGAGTTCGAGACCAGCCTGGGCTACATAGTGTGTTCCAGGTCAGTCTCAACTACATAGTGAGACCCTGTCTCAAAAAACAAAAAAAATGAAATACTAGTATCGTGTGTAAAACTATTGATCCAGTGTCAATTGTTAAGGGCTACAAAGAATAAATAAGTGTTAGATCATTCTCACGTTAGTTTTACTTCATTGATGAGCATCCTGTTGTTTCAGGAGCTAATAAGGAGGCAGCCAGAGGAAGTTGTTCTTTTCTTCTGTTCATTTGGTTTCTTCACTTGAAATCTAAGACTGATTATTCATTTAAACTTCAAAATTAATTATATAGACAAAGCCTATTTCTCCTATCAACAGAGATCCATATGAACAATTATAGAATCATTTTTCCAAGAAATGACTTTCAAGATGCCAACTATGAAGGTTTGATAATTTGAATTATTTCTACAGATGATTTTAAATCTAATTTCTTTTTCTAGAACTCCATTACTCAATGTCCTGCATAGATTTTCATTATTATTTTTATAGCTACTGAGCAACATATAAAATACTAGGAATCCAACTATACTTAAATATCTAATGGTAGCTATTTTAAAGTCAAGGTTTTTACCAAGGAATAGAATTAATTATAAGGACCCACTTTTGAAGTGTGTATTGAATATTAGCATTTTATGATTAGTATTTTGAAATAGGAAATAGAAAAGATATATTGGATTTTGAAAAATGTGTCATGGTTGGCTATTTTTATAGAAGAATATAATGAAAAAGTTGTGCTACTTACCTCTTTAGCACTGCAGTTATTTTTAGATTATAGAAATAATCACCTTCTTTAATATTTTATAATTCATCTAAAGAGATTCACTTGCTTGTTTAAATGTGAGTTGGATATGTCCAAAAGAGTTTTGACTACTCTCTAGAAGGAAAAATGAGTTTTACTAAATTTTGGAAAGGAAGTTTCATGTAAGTGTTCCTTTAATTTTTTTTAAAGGGCAATTTCACCAGTGTGGCCTTTGAAAGTGTACTTTTTTGAGGAAGTTTTAAAGGCAAATTGTAAACAAAGGAAAGAATTATAATAGATCAAACTTGCACCTTACCACCCAGTGTCTACACTAATACAGACACAATAGTTAGGATTTTACTTCAAACTTATAGTTCATTTATTTATTTATTTTTAATTTATTTTTTGCCTGATAAGCTCCATTAGCTTTTTGTTAGAACTAATTTTTTTCTTTATTATTATTATTTTTTTTTGGTACTGGGGATCGAACCCAGGACCTTGAGCTTGCAGGCGGGCATGGTTCCACTGAGCTAAATCCCCAGCCCCCCACTACTTAGTTTTTGAAGTGAAGTCTAATACAAGGTTTAGAATGTAAATGGTATTTGTTATGGCTTGGATCTGAAAGTCCCCCCAAAGGCTGATGGGTTCAGAGGTAGAGTTCTGGAAGATGATTGGATTAGGAGGCCTCTCGTTTCCTCCGTGGAATAGTTGAAATTAGGTCCGGATCCATAACGTGAAGGCATTGTTGGGAGAAGATGGAAACATAAATGATGAGGTCTGACTGAAGGGAGCGTCGGGCTGGTCTTGAGGACCGTTTCCTGTCCAGTCCCTCTCGGCTCTTTAGCTTTGCATCCCGACTGTTAGGAAGTGAGCAGCTTTTCCTCTTACACCCTCCACCCTGCTGTTTCTGCCTCCCTACAGCCCTGAACGTCGTGGGAGCCGTGGACCACAGACTGACACCTCTGAAACCAGGAGCCAAACGAAATAGGCCTCTCTTCCTCCTCGGGTCTGGTGTGTTGTCACAGTGAGGGACAATTACTCTTAGAAACCATTTAAATACAGACAAAAGTTCTACATAGAATGCTAAGAAGACCGCGTCCACACTGTGTTACTGCCACACGCACAGATGGAGGGACTTCTAGAGAATCTGACACTACGAATCTCTGGCGTTTAGTGCTGGCAATATTATACAATTAGCCACCTGAGGTAGCATCCTGAGCCATTTTAAATGCGTAAAGAATTCGAGGAGCGACAGAAACTCCAGGGAGGTCTTCAAATCATCTCAGAGCAGCAAGACTGTTCGGTGATTGCCATTTTAGAAGCAGACACCTCCCCGTTGTGTTGCATCTTACATGGACAATGTGTGAACAGAGAGGGGTTGTTCTCATGATTAATTTCATGTCACCATGACTGGGCCATGGACGCCCAGATAGTTCATCAAACGTTATTATAAAAGTTTCTCAGAGGGCATCTTGTGAGATTAACATTTAAATCGGTGAACTTGAGTAAAACAGATTCTCCTCCTTCACGTGAGGCCTTAACCAAAGCCGAATAGAATAGTTTGATAGCTTGAATAGTTTGAATAGTTTGGTTCTAATCAGATTCTCTCCCAAGAAAGAGTGGGTCCTCAGCAGCCTGCCCTCAGGCTTCATCTGCAACATTGCCTTCACCCTCTGGGATTCTTAGCCAGGTGTGTGGGCATCTCAGGTACATTAGCAAGGTTATCTCTACGGAGAGTGACAGGATGACAGTGTAAGTCTCCACAGCGCAGCTAAGATTGATAACCTCCGTATTCATCTTCATGTTCCGCTTTCTCCTAACTGAACTTCCCTGTGTAACTGAAAAATATACTCGGTCTGCAAGGTTAGGACCCAGTTCAACAATAGTGAAATCATTATGACAAATGCCTGTGCCTGGACTTGAATTGCCAAAGTCGCTGTCCCTTAAGGCACCTTGACTAACACACCTTAGCCTCTGAAAAATGCAATAAAATCTTAAAGCTTCTTTGTAAAATATTTATTTTCTTCAGATGTGTTAGCGGACTCAATTAGCATTGGTTGGGTTCTTTAAAAGTTACTCATACCAAGGAAGGACTACAAAAGTGACAGAGGAAAAAGGTGTGTATTTACACAGAGAATTTCCCAAACTGTAAACCTTTAAGGCCATTTGAGGGAGCTGTAGAGCTCAGGCACGAAGTAGTCCTTGTAACATCCGTCGATGAAACCTTTTCCACTGTTGTGCACAAACCAACAGGGAACGTCTGTTCCAAGCACAATGTCTGTTCTGTAGTCTTTCTGTAAGCCTCTGCAAGGAAAACGGTGTGTGTGGTCAGGGAGTAGAGCGTGGCTATCCTAGGACAGCTAGACACCGGGTACCCTCTGCTCGCTGGCTTTTGTGCCCCTTCTGATCACCACCTCTGCCCGACCCCCTCACCCAGCTTGTACGTACTGTCAGAGCCTGGGGCTCCGTGTTGGAAGGCCAGCAAATAAGAAACATGTCTCGTGATATAATTCAAATAACCCACGCAGAGGTTGAACCTCATGGACCCTTCCAGCAAGGTAAAAAGCAGTGAACTAACGGGCGGGATGAAGGCAGGACTCAAACTCCAAAGTGTTGTAGGCTAACCTCATCCTTCGCCCTGAGATACCTCTTACTCTCACTGTAGGGATGAGTGTTTTATTTAAGGGTGATGCAAGCTGTTTGTGAGAAAATTCAGGTCCTCCACTTGCAGGGCAAAGAAGCAAATGATTTGCAGAAGTAGCACGCATGGTCATCAGTAAGCCACGAAAATACCCCACTGCTGAGCCCACAGCTCTGCTTCAGGTTTGCGTCCTAAGGCTCTTGCAGTGGGTTTCAGCGAGGCCCAGCAGGTACATTTTGTCATATAATAGATGTTCTTTCACTAGGCTTTGCTTAACTCACTAACAACAGGAGCTCACCGTTTCCTCATCATGCTCCCTGATGCCCACTGGGAACTCACTGTTCACTTATCTTGTAAACCACTACCAGCTGAGTGGTGTACTCACTAGGAATCCATTGTTTTAGTTCACAAATCTATTTTTTTGTAGTGGCACTTATAATTGTATGGTTTGTGATTGTCATATGATTTCATTAAGCATATGGAAGCCACCAACATTTGCAGTAAGTCAGAAAGTTGTTTCTAAGAAAGCAGTTGCACTGGCTTCTTTATTAAGATTGTTCAGATCCCAGCACTTGGGAGGCTGAGGCAGGAGGATCGCTGTGAGTTCAAGACCAACCTGGGCTACATAGTGAGTTCCAGGTCAGTCTCAACTACATAGTGAGCCCCTGTCTCAAAAAATAAAAAAACAAAATGAAACAAAAAAAGATTCTTAAAAGACAAAAATTGCTTTAAAAGAATATCAAATTAGGCATGGTTGAGACAACTAAAAGACTGAGAAAGACTATGACGATGTATAAGAAGTTTGCACTCAGAATGTTATGCAAGTGTAAAAGTTCTCACTTCGGGATGAAGCATGTGGATAAGATTTGTGCAAGAGAACTACACAAAAATGCATTTGGTAAATCTATACTCAAAAAGAATGCTTTACAAAGCCGGGTGTGGTGGCGCACGCCTGTAATCCCAGCACTCTGGAGGCTGAGGCAGGAGGATCACTGTGAGTTCGAGACCAGCCTACATAGTGAGACCCTGTCTCAAAAAACCAAAAAAAAAAAAAAAAAAAAAAGAGTGTTTTACATACAAACAAACATATGTAAACATACAACCACACACGTCCATGACTCATTGTATTTTCATGATTTCTTCCTTTGGATGAGTGCTATGGTCTCATATGTTCACAGCTGGGGCTGTGGGAAGGTGATTAGACCATGGAGGCACTTTACGAGGTGGGGCCTGGCAGAAGAGGCATGTCACAGGGGCCAGCCTTCGGAGAGTCAGTCTCCACCCCACCTCCTCCCTCTCTCTGCTTCCTGGCTGCCATGAGGTGAGCAGCCTCACCCCACCATTGCCTTTCCGCCTTGGAGGCAGCCAACTGCGGACCGGAGCCTCCAAGCCATGAGTCAGATGTAGCCTCTCCTCCCTCAAGTTGTGCGTGTCAACTGTTTTGTCCCGGTGACAGTGAGACAGCCAGGACAGCAACTTTTTCAGTTATTCAGCTTGTGACCATATATAGGGCTTCCAATGCATGGAGAGGAGAATAATAAATAGATCAGTTAGTCTTGGAATTTCACGATGTGCACTTACATATACAGACGTTATTGGCTTTTAAGGTGGGCTGTCTGAAGTGTGCGCATGCAAACGTTGACATTTGCGTCTATCCTTGGTGCACTGTTGCATTTGACAGAGGTAAAGCTCAAAATGCCTTTTTATACTCTTGTATTTTACCAAAAGAGTCCAGGCCTACAGGAACCCACTTCGTTACCGCCTTCTGCATCCCAGGCCTACCTGGTGACAATCAGCTTGTGTCCTTTCACGTCCATGCTTGCCTCGGGCTTCTTGGGGTCCTTTCCTGGCCTCTCATTGGAGATGTATATCTTTGGTTCGTGCATGAACTGGCCTAGTGAAGCAAGATATGTGGAAAGGTAAAAAAGCAGCAATCTCTCAGCGTCTTTTTTTTTGTTTGTTTGTTTGTTTTTTGAGACAGGGTCTCACTATGTAGTTGAGACTGAGCTGGAACTCACTATGTAGCCCAGGCTGGTCTCGGATTCACAGCGATCCTCCTGCCTCAGCCTCCCGGGTGCTGGGATTACAGGCGTGCGCCACCACGCCCGGCTTCTCAGTGTCTTTATACATAAAGTCCTCATCTCACGGCAGTGGGGTGAGGTCAGCTCTGGTGTACATAGCTCAAATCACAGGCACAGGTCTGTTTGTGGTGTCGAATGCTTACATTTCAACCCTTCTTAAAATGCTGTTGGCCCGCAAGCTCTGCTTGTTAGCACAGACTTCCTAAACCAGTCCATCCCCCTGCAGGTAAAAGAAAATCTTTAAATGGTTCTACCCCTCTTTTAGCTGCCCCATTAGTGATGCTGAGACCCTGTCCCTGAACACCTTTGTCTGGAAGGTGAAACGGACCCAGCCGATGCATTCCGGAGTCTCCACGCTGCCACGTGTGCTGCAGAGTGTCGCCTGCCATCTCCCCAGATCCCGACCACCGCCCTTCAAGACACCGAAGGCCTCGAGTGGCACTGCGCGTGCCAGGCGGCTGGGAGACACCTCACCTATCAGTCCATGAGCCTTCAGCGAGAACTTGTTTGAGGGGGGGATGTAGATCCCCAGAAAGTCCACGTTGACCGGGTGCTTCTTCCAAACACGGTGCAGCAGAATGGAAAAGGACACTTCTTTACCCAAGGTGAGAGTCACAGATTTTTCTTTATTCACGGAGACAACCACCCTAATGTGAGAGGCAACAGGGAGCTAAGGATTGCAGAGCAGATGTTGCAGCAAGTCGTCCTTCTCGCTCGTACTTAGCATGCCCCCGTCTCCCGGTACAACTCTACTACTTCTCTGAGAGCCTGACGATGTCCTCACTATGGATGTAGTTTTATCTCCTGGCTCTAAAATTCTGTCATCGGCGTGTTGTGGATCAGCAGTGAGTTAACAGACACTAACTGGGGACATACCCTGCTTACGATACAAATCGTAGTATTTAGAGCACACTTTCTGATGCAGAGCCCGCTACAGATTTCAGCAGTGCTTACTGCCTGTCATGCGTGAGGCAGTGGTGATCAAACACCACGCTTTGTGTGGCTACAAAGAGTGTACTGAGTAAGAAGGATTTTCCTGAACATTGGGCCTTGTCACCGAGCTACATCCTAAGTCACTAAATCACTCAGGCAGGGCTCGAACTTTTGATCTTCCAGCCTGGGAATACAGGTGTTCTGCCATCGCGCCAGACTTGCTTGACTCTCTCTCTCTCCCTCTCCCTCCCTCTCCCTCTCCCTCTCTCACTCTCTCTGTCTCTCTCTCTCCCCCCTCCCCTCC